TAAGCTAGTTTTCAGCATTTAAGCAGCAGGTTCAAGCTGGCTGCAATCTATCAGAATATATTTTATTTTTGTTTTAAAATTGCACATGTAAAATTACTTTTTGTTACGATAAAAGGGAATTTAATGCTACATAAATATTGGTGGTGTCTTAATTAAAACCAAAAGTTTGATTTCCTTTATTTTATTAGTTTTAAAAATATGTAAGTGTAATTTAGCCAGACTATTGTTAAAATGTATCAAATATGTTTTTTCAAGCAGTTTATAAGTTATGGATAATATTACTGGTGATGTTAGCAATTTATTTTGATTCTCATCTTTTTCTCCATTAAAAGGCCCAGAAAATAAGCTCAGAAATAATAAGAAATTTGAAGCAGTTAAAATTTCCTTTTACAGCCATATTAGCCAAAAAGGACTGCACTTGACCTGTGTGTGTGTGTGTGTCTGTGTGTGTGTGTGTGTCTGTGTGTGTATGTCTGTGTGTGTGCTGTGTGTGTGTCTGTGTGTGTGTGTGTGTGTGTGTGTGTGTGTGTTTTATGGTTAATGCTTTGGGGTATAATATGAATTTTATTTTGCTACTGAGAAAATTCTTACTAGCTTCTAATACCTAATTTCCATCTATCTTCCTAGAATATCCACATGACGTATTTTTATATTCTTACTTTACTACTACTGATACTGTAATTTTATTGTAGTTTTCATAAATCTATTCTAAAAAGGTAGGGGGGAATCAAGCACAGTAAACTAATAAGGCCAGCACACAGTAGGCACTTGATAAATGCTGTTAGTGGACATAATATTTAACTGTACATTTTGCCCAGTGAGAAATCAGAGGATACATAAAATACAAGCATCAAAATGCATTTTGATGTTTCCACACAGAAAAATACTTTTCTGACTATATATGAGTGAATATCTGTCAGGCACTTTGATCCATCTACCAGTCTGTCTATATTTCTGTCTCCATATACAAATGCAATAAGGTTGTTTCACACATTTAGGGAGAGGGGAAGCCAATAGCTCTGGTTCCAGTAGAGTCATTTTATGAAGCTAGCAGTGATAATTGGTAATGTTAGCATTTGTCAGCAAGTGAGAGAGTCTCCACTAGCACCTGCTGGTACTGAAAAAGCACCCGAGCAGGGGTGTCGATGTACAAGAGGGTTGCCATAAGTTTTCTTCAGATGCCACTATGTTTGTAGCACAAGCAGTCAGTTAAGAACATTATGATTTTCAAAAGGAATTACTTCATAATTATATTATTGTCTTGGTCACCGGCAAAGTCCAAGTTGAATAAAGTAACACAGTATGGCTAAAGAGAACTGGATTATAAACGACTTAATTTTGCTTACTTTCAAAAATTTGGACCAGATCATCAAATGAGATCTCTTCTTTCTGACCCATACCTCATCCCCATGAATGTATTATAAAGTTAGTTAATTATGTAGGATACTCAAGGGAGAACTTAATAATAAAGCTGACATTACAATAATTCAGGCCCTACTTGAGAAACAAAAGCTATAAAAATTTAAACAAGAGCCAGGAGGATATGAAGGGAAAAAGATGGATGCCATCAATTAGGATTCACATCATCATATTCTTGAATTTATGGGAAACCTACCCATATGCTACTATAGCATTATTCACTGAAATTCTCTCCAGGGTATAAACAGCAGGCTTTGAAAATGCTATTTAAAGCTAACCAGTTTCCTTTTATTTTATTTTATTTTATTTTATTTTTTTTTTTAATTTTTTATTGGATTATAGGTTTTGGGGTACATGAGCAGAGCATGCAAGACAGTTGCGTAGGTACACACATGGCAGTAAAGGATTTTCCCTTAGACTGTAAATTGACTTAGGAGCTAGTCTATGTTCTCAAACACCAAGTTTAGACAAATACATTATTTTTAGGTTCTTCTCAGACATTTCATGTCTTCAAGGTTTTAATCAAAGTCATTTTCATGGCATTTATGAATCAGTAATTCAGAACACAGTTTCCACCCTCTTCTGCTGCCATGGTCAGATAGTTCTAGGGTTCTAATCTTGTACCTCCACTCACTAGGTATCAGATTCTGGTAAAGCTATTTAAGTGTATAAAATGAAGCATAATCTTGTCAGAAGTAAATGAGGCAATATGTGTAAATTGCTCAGCATAGAGTCTTGCACATATTACTACTCATATTAATCTGGGATTCAAATTCACCCATGGATCCTGAATATTTTCTGGATACATGAAAATACTCTTAATATGTCTAAAAAGTGCTTTTGGTTGGGCCCCTGTGTAACTCTCTACCTTCATTTAGCACCATTTTATCATTTGTATGTCTTCACTGCAGCCACACCAAATTATTTGCTCTTTAAATACTTATGTTGTCAGAGGCCATTGTGCTTTCACTGTTCCATGACTACTCTTCTTTCAAGAAAGAGCTCCAGCCTCTCACCCTACAGAAGCCTTTCACCACCCATCTGCACTGAAATAGTCTGTCCTATGCTGTCACCAAACCCTTTGTGTATCTTTATGATAGTACATGTCACTCATCTTGTATTTTTTATTTAAATTTTTATTTTCCTCCCACAAATATAGACTGAAACTTGTTTGAAGGCAGAGGCTATTAGCTCTTATTTTATTTTTCATCCCCAGAGTCTCAAGGATAAGGCACATATTAGATGTCCTATACATGTTGGTTAAATGAGTGAATTGTACTGAGTCACCTGTGATTATGAGACTTTTCTGCTAAGGGAGGACCTTTTCTTCTACATAACATCTGAAGAGATTGTCCTGAAAGTACAGTGAGTTGAAATCTAAAGTTAAAACCAAAGCAAACTGTTAATATTTAAATCAGAACTTTTTTTTTTAGTATTATACTAGATGACCTTCTCTAGAAGCCCCAAATGAACACAAAAGACTTATTTAGATTTAGCTCTATGCATTTATCTGAGAGTGCATTTCTAACTTAAAAAATGCAATGCTTAACAATGTCATACTTTAAAAGTTAGGTGAATTTTTTAAATCTTGGAAAAAAAGCAAGATAATTGCAAAGGCTATTAACTTTTCCAGGCTGTGCAAAGACACGCAGCCTAAAAACGACAGTGATGGGACTACCTTGTACCAAACTTCCCTTGGACTGTACCCTCAGCTTCATACCTAGACTAAGGTTTGACAAGTGGGCAGGGAAAAAAAAACGGTGAAAAAGACAAAGCAGGGACAAATCTTTTGATATTTTCATATGGATTTTATCGTGGATCTATGTTTTGTGATCATTATACTCTACTCCCAATAATTTACTCTCTGGTTTAAAAAGGCCACAGTCTCCAGCAGGATTTTAAATGCTATTACTGGTATAAACACTCAGGTTACAATTCTTTTTGTTAATTAGTTTACTCATTCTCCCTAAGCTAGTTTATATCAGCACTTTCCCCCTTTTTAATTATATTTAATTCTAACAAAGAAGACTTATGTGTGAATACTGTTCATCAAAACTACAGCAAAATATTCCTAAAAACAACAGCTAAATATTCCTTCTATCATAGAATCTGAAACCCAAGTAGCTTCATTTTAAGGGAGTAGAAAACTGAAAAACTGGCCTATTTCACAGTCTTAGAAAAAACACTTCCTAATAATACAAATGATAACATTTAGTAGGAGGGTAGAGTAGCTAACAGCATGTGCCTTGGAATAAAACACACTTCCATTTCAAATTTTAGCTTAGCTTCTTAGCAATTACTTAAATTCAGGTAAATTTGTTAAACTCCGTTAGGCTTCTATTTTCTTATAGGTAAAATAACAAAGAAAAAATACTTGTTTCATTGGATGTTGAAAGGTTTGAATGGAACAATTCCATGTAAAATATTTCATATCATTTTAAGCATTTTTTTAGGGCCTCAATGCTACCTATTATTATCGTTATCTATAAGGAATTACTATAATAAATTTACTTTTATTGAATTATTATACAGGATTTTAACAATGAGGGAAACATTTTTATTATATATTTGGACACTTTTTCATAAAGATGTATGGCAAAAGCAATTCCTTCTTTTCTTACAAGGAGAGCAGTAAGACGGATTTCTTTCTTTCTTTTTTTTTTTCGAGACAGAGTCTCTCTCTGTCGCCAGTCACCAGGCTGGAGTGCAGTGGTGTGATCTCGGCTCACTGCAACCCCTGCTTCCTGGGTTCAAGCAATTCTCCTGCCTCAGCCTCCTCAGTAGCTGGGACTACAGGTGCATGCGATCATGTCCAGCTAATTTTTGTGTGTGTTTTTTTTTTAGTGGAGACGGGGTTTCACCATGCTGGCCAGGATTGTCTTGATTTCTTGACCTTGTGATCCGCCCGCTTCGGCCTCCCAAAGTGCTGGGATTACAGGAGTGAGCCACTGTGTCTGGCCGTAAAATGGATTTCTAAGGCCAAAAAGAGCTCAATGGTAAAGCTGGGCTTAGAGTGAATAAAAGAACTCAAAGCTGATGTTATGTGACAACGAAAAATCACTCCCTTCATGTCCCAATTTGGTTTTCAGCATGTTGAGGCTCTGGAATTAATGTGGGTTTCTGATTAAGCCCATGCATCTGTATTTAAACTTATAGTGTGTATGTCAGTGGTGTTCATCTCCTGACCACTGTTTTTATTGACCTGACCTAACAGACCAAAGCTTCACAATTTTAAACTAATTGTAAAATCATTTGTTCATGGCTTTATTCTCTTCCAAGTTTTCACTAAAATCATGATGACGCCAGGACTAGTGAACAGTTAGGCTCATAGCCACAGAGACTCTGTGTAATAGCATCAAGGGCCACATTTTGGCCACATTACTATTGTGGGAGAGGAAGGCATTTCACGAAAGCATTTAATGATGGTACCCAAACATTAACTGAAATGACTGTATGAGTATTTACATGAACAAAATCTCACTTGAAAAGGCTATTAAAAACTTGGGACACGTGGTTTTAAAATATCAGGTCAAATTAGAAGGATATTCACAGCTTACGTGGTATCCCTGTATGAAACTTACTTTCATCTCCTGTTTCGAATTCGAATTTCTGACTGTAGCCAGTGTATCCTGCCGCGGTTCTCACACGGATGTGAAATACGTACTTGGTGGCTGGCTTAAGACCTGTGATGATGACACTGGGGGCCTTGGACCTTGTGGAAGAGTAGGTCAGCTGCTCATGCTCCTGGGGGACAGAAAAAGAGAAAAAAATGAAATAGAGTTATTCTCCGTTTCTCTAGAAACATTCCAAAGTTTAACTGAGGCATTTTGCTCTGAATGCCAAAAGTACTGATCACAAAGAAGTGTCAGCATGGTTTTCCATAATTTGGCATTGAGTTGTTTATCATTATGATGCATATGGTACGATCCTATTTGGAAATGTATTAAGAAAGATGATTCATCTTATATAAACTGCACTTGTACTTCTGGTGATTTAGATTCCTGACCCAACTCTAAGAAACGGTGGTGGTGTGAGAACATGTTTACACAGAATGGCAGCTGCATCTTGAGAAAATGGGCACATCAGATCAGACCACACCAGCAGAGTGCGAGGGGCAAAGGTGGGAGAGTTCAAGTAGCCGCTACTCACTTCTACCCGCAGGTAGTGCCAAAATGCCAGCGCTATCTGTGGGTAGACCTGCGGCTGAAAGCAGAAATACATTCATTGTTTTTTAAAGTCTGAAATCTTTTATCCTGAAGTCAATTACTCTGTGCTGTAACTCAGTGATTCCTCAGTAGTGAAACGTGAAGTGGAGTTAAATTTAGGAAACAAAATGATGAATTTTTTCCCGTAAGGGAGAATTGACTCCTCCCCTAGATATTATAGTTTATTTTTAAACATACACTAGTTACATAGTGATTATGAGGTAGATTTAAAAATAATATGTCCACGAAGAAGCACTGGAGATACAGAAAGGCATGAAAGACTTACCACACCTGCAGAATCAGAGGCAGGGTTGAGGCCTGGTTCTCGGTCTCTTGCGTGAATTGCCAAATTATCTCACTTTACTAAATGGAAGTGAACTTGCCAGGGCATTCTGGATAATTTAGGCAGTTGGGGTTTGTTACATGGTGCTTCTTGCTCACTACCTCAGAAAAGGGCAGTTAATTTTACCTGTCCATAATAAGAGATTGTCTACAATATGCCACGGTGGGGACAAATTAAACCCATACTCTTTCTGTATGCTGTTAGAGTCAATAAGTTTACAATGATATTTTAATAGGGTTTCTGAAAAAATGCATTTGTATAAACAAAAGTTACAGGACAAGCTAGGTTAACAGGTCCTCAAGTTAATTTCCACCATTCTTATAACAAATCTAGAGATTTTCAGAGATGAAAAGTGACTTTCGAAGTCACTAGTTGAATCACTCATTTGATGATTCAATTCTATCTATAACATTCCCATCAAAATTTCATTTTGTGTTTGCCCGAAAACACTTTTATTTGGGAGACCTTCCCGACTAACGAGCCAAGTTATGAGAATGTACACATGGAGAATATGCCACACTTCATGTATTTGCTGATGCTTTAAGATTTCAAACTATGAAAATCATTTCTCCTAGGCTACTTTTCAGAAAAAAGGTCATATCTTAAGGATCATTTTTAAACTTTATGACCTTACTTGTCAGAACTTTATATGCTCTCTGGTTATTCTGTGCCTAGCTAAAGAATTGAATTTGCCATTTATATCCCAAACAATTAAACCGTTTATTAAACATAAACTACAAAGAAAAAAATGAGTTAAGAATAGCAACATTTTAAATAAAAACAAACGCCAAAAACTGCAACTTATATTTATCTCTAGGTGATTTTAAGATTAGAAAGTAAATAAATATTTATGAACCTAGCACGAAATATAAGGAAATAGTCTATAAATCAGCAATGGCTACAATAATCTGTTAGGGGTTACATTCAGGAGCTCGCTGATATTAAGGCCTTTGCAGTTAGATGGTTAAAATGCATATTGTGGGGAAAAAATATTTGTGAGCTATTAGAAAAAAAGATGTTGTTTCTGGCAGGAATTTCTAAAACATTTGGATTTTTCAATCTCATCACATACAAGAGGAGAATATGCTGCTTTTCATAGAATTTCTACAACCTAAGAATTATGATGTATTTTGAACGCTGTTTCACAATGTGAAATGATGACTGCGAGAAGGACTTTGAAGCAATGAAAAACAGCATTTAATCTCATTCCAAAAGAGAGAAGATACGGTTCAAAAGTTTACTCATTGAATGGCCCCAGGATAATTACACATCATATCCTTGCTGCTTCCTGAAAACATAGCTAAATAGTGATTTCCTACTCCGTGAAGTTACAGGGAGTAAAGGACACTTTTTACAGGCAGCTTTTAGCATTTTTGTTATTACCTACAGAAGTGTACCTGTAACTAAATCCTTGGAATGAAAATTCAACAGTAGGAAGTGTACTTAAAAGGTTCTTCAGCCCGAATCACTCGCCACAGGTGAGTGTTGCCCGCTTGTCTTATGTCTTGCGGCTTGCTGGCATGATGAGGAAGAGGACCCAGGAGGAAGCAGTCATGAGAATTCTTCACAGTACACAACAGACTCCTTTCCTCCTGGTGTTTGTAAGCTCCGGGGAAACCAAGTGAGCTTTCATCTATGATATGCATAGGGAGGACACTATTGTCCCAGAAGTTTGGCCAGTTCCCTTTCTGCTGATACATCAACTCCAACTGAAAGGTGCCGTCACCAGGTAGAGACCAGGCTTTGCCACAGAGCCATTGAGGCTCTTTCTTCATCCTGGCAGGCTGAATTCTGAATATGGTTGGATAGGGTATGTTAGCATGCTTTTCTGGAGTTTGTACTGTAATGGCATAGCTAGCTGTATGACACGTAAATCTTCAGTTTTGCTAGGTAACACATTCCATTGCTCATAAAATTCTGTTTTTCATCTTCGTTGACTCTGTGATGAAATTCCTCTTCTCGTTTTAAATACTGTTTATTTTTGTAATTTCTTTTTTTCACGATCAAGCTTTCCAGAGGTTTGAACAAATTTTTGGCTTTTCGCTCTTTTTTTAAAAATCTATTACATTTAACATCTGTTCTTACTATAAACATCGTTTCTTCTTTCCACTTTCTTTGTGTTAGTTATGTTGTTTTCTAACTTCTTATGTTTCATGCTTACCTCATTCTCAGCACATTGTTTCAAATATATTATTTAAGCTGACAAATTTCATGCCAAGTGCTGCCATAGTTATACTTCCTAAATTTTCATCTGCTTTGTTAATCAGTTCTAAGTACTTATTAATATCCAAAATATGATTAAAAAATTATTTGTGGCAGATCCAGTACTGTTACTTAAAAATTTTTATGGGTTAAGACATGGTATCAAAGTGGTACAAAGAGAACCTCCAGAGACGTAGTCCCATGGGTGGCAAAGCACCCTGAACCGTGAATAGTGCGGTGGGGGATGCTCGCTGGCTGAGAGCACTGGCGATCTTGTGCACTGATACTTGTTGGCTGGAAGTGAAACAGCGTGCTGCACGACCTCTCCTTGGCTGAGCACAGAAAATCGCACTAATTGTGGAAAAAGCCATTGAGAAGAAATGAACTTTGACATATTTTTAGTTAGATGATTTTCTAAAATAAAATATATATACAATTCCTGTTTGACACATTTGTATCCAAATAAAAAAAAAAAATAGTTGTGAACCAAATAGTGGGAACGTAGAACACCATCAAATGGGGCAGGCAGATGCTGTTCACTAGAGAAGTGAACGTCCGCTTACGGTTCTCTTCCCATGGGAAGATCCGGGCGCTTGCCCTAGGCACTGCTCCTTCCAAGACGCTGAGAATCACGGCGTTTATGGGAATCATATTGTCACACTGAACCTTTCATTTACCTGAAATACTGATCATAGCTTTATCTCCATAGGTGTCAACTTTGCATGATAACTAAAAGGGATCCTTTTACCAGAGTCTGGAATCCACCAGTTTTCAAACCGAAAACGAAGTGAAAAGAAATAGGCCCAGCACTTTGGGAGGCCGAGACGGGTGAATCACGAGGTAAACAGATCGAGACCATCCTGGTCAACATGGTGAAACCCCGTCTCTACTAAAAATACAAAAAATTAGCTGGGCACGGTGTCGCGTGCCTGTAATCCCAGCTACTCGGGAGGCTGAGGCAGGAGAATTGCCTGAACCCAGGAGGCGGAGGTTGCGGTGAGCCGAGATCGCGCCATTGCACCCCAGCCTGGGAAACAAGAGCGAAACTCCATCTCAAAAAAAAAAAAAAAAAAAAAAAAAAAGAAAAGAAATAGGCTCAGGTGTTTAGATCCTGTGGCTACGTCTTTCTACAGTCAGAGGTAACAGGGCCTGTATCAGTAGAACACAGCGTGGAGAGAATTCTACATCTGAGTTCTCCTGTCTGGAACATTATCTTGATTCTGCTTCCATTATGTACCTTGGCAAATTACCTTCAAGGTTTTGATTCACTCCTCTAGAAGACTCATTCATCCTATAGACATTCGTTGAATCTCATGGTACGTATAAGGTTCGAGGACACTCTGTTAGGTGTAGCTTACGTAATCACCAGCGTTCTACCCAGCAATTCAATTCTATAATTTTTTTTTATGTCAGAAGTGCAGGTTCTTTCCCCTGTGCTCTGAGTCACTGTCATCACCCCTCCTCTCCCTCCCTTGGGTTTACCCATTGATGGGAACAGATTCAACAGGCCAGCACAGTGTCATCTTTTAGCCGGTTTGTTTTCTCCAAAGCTCTTTGGGCCTATTGGGATTTCTAAAAGGTGTCACCTCTTTGTTTTATTTTTTAATTTTAAATTAATTGGATTAAATATACCATAAAAATTATATTCTAAATTATTCTCTAGACATATATATCAAAAGATATAACAGCAATCATAATAACAATGATTAATGTAGAGCTTTACAATTTACAAGGAGTTTTCATACACGTTTAAAAAATCTAATCCTCATAAAAGTCTTGTGAAATAAGAACTGGTAATATTTTTATTTCCATTTCTCTATGATGAAACTAGTTCCGAAGAAAGAAGGAATAAGTAAATTAGCAAAACAAGTAACACAACTTGTCAGTGGCTTCCATCCAATTTATATAGTTTATAATTTGTCTTTTATGCTTTAATATATTACTTAAGATAACATTAAAAATTTTAAATAAATAGATTGGAGGTGGCACAGGGT